AGGGGACTCAGGGCGGATAACAATGTACATATACATGGCAAACATTCAATGCCATAGATACACAACATATATAGACAGACACAGAGGCAATTTAACATTCCAACTTCTCATGAGGGTATTCTGGCCACCAGGGGTGCTGTTGCTTCACCGTGTATTTGTGACACTGATGAAGTACTTCCTCATTCTTTGCAGACTTGCTGGAGATTTTTATGGCATCATAAATTAGTTAAATTAGCCTCCCCGTGTAGGTGGTACCTAAATTTCCTACTTGACAGATGCAACTGTCATTCGGGCTGCAAAGGTTGACAGCAAGCAACACAAATTGGTCGGACACTCACTCCGACCTAAGCTGGCTTCGAACTCATGACCTTTCGGTCAGTAGTGATCTTAATGCAGCTGACTCCCAGCCAGATGTGCCACAATCCCGGTGCTTAAAACCAAGGAGCTCATAGTGGACTATAGGAAGAGCAGAGCAGAAATCCAGACAAGAAACAATCAGGGACAGCTAATCACCTCTCAACAAAGGATTCCCCCAGTCGGTAACAAGCCACACCTAAAAACTGTCAGGCCATCAAATGCTAATCAAGGTGGTCAACTGAACCATTCACTCCTACCTCCAACAGACAAGAGTTCTTTCTCCCACCCTGGTCATTCCACAGATGTACAAACCCAGTTGTAACTATATTGAACTCCATGGTTTCACATTGATGTGGCATTGGGAGCTGTGCAGTGGTGGTTGAGGTGTGGAGGGATGGGTGTGTTGTTTTGTGATGTGTACTGGGAAAGGCATTTAATTTGTTGTGCAATAGCACAATGACAACAAATTGTATACTGTTCTATTCTCCATGCATTTGGAGGGCACCAGGTAAAGGAAAGTGTCTATTAGCTTGGTGCACACACGTCCTCCTCAACATTTCCCAAGCCCCATAAGTCACCGCTGTGGCTATTAAATGGCTGGAATGGGGCAGAAAAGAGGGGAAGAGTGAAGACTAATGGGAAGAGAAATTATTTCTTTATTCCTCTTCTAGTGCAGTATTTAAAATATAGCATCACATCGTTAGGGCTATGGTGGCACAGCGGGTTAAATCACTAAGCTGCAGAACTTGCTGATGACAAAGTCGGCAGTTCAAATCCATGGACAGGGTGAGCTCCCATTGTTATCCCCAGCTTCTGCCAACCTAGCAGTTTGAAAACATGCAAATGTGAGTAATCAATAGGCACCCCTTTGGTGGGAAGGTAATGGTGCTCCATGCAGTCATGCTGGCCACATGACCTTGGAGACATGTACGAGGTTTGAATGAAAAGTAATGCCTCCACCTTCGTAACTCCTCAACAGATGGCAGTACTGGTATGCGGTAGGTACTGGCTTGTTCAGTAGTCTCTCCTCTACAGTTCCATTTTAGCGGGAAGCCTTAGCATTGAATGGTTGTGTTGTTAAAGTGCAAAGTATGGAACCCTGCGCAGACAGTCGGTCAATGCAACTTAAGCAACGTGCAGTCATTGAATTCTTGACAGCAGAAGGTGTCACCCAAAGGAGATTCATCAGAGAATGCAAGCTGTTTATGGTGATTGTGTTGATGTGAGTACTGTACGTCTTTGGGTGAGTAAGTTTAAAGATGTTGAGGTGGGAACATCTGACTTGCATGACAAACAAAAAGTTGGACATCCTGTGACAGCAATCACTGAGTTTCACAAGCAAAAGGTTGACAGATTGATTCAGGATGATTGTCATATCCCTCAGAGAGAAATTTCAAGCATAATCAGCATTTAACAAGAATGCTTGCCTATTGGAAGATCTGCACACGATGGGTACCCAAAACAGAGTGTCAACTTCTTTTGTGACGGCTGCAGAAAACTTGTTCATCGTTGGCAGAAATGTATCCAATTGTCTTGTGATTATGTGGAAAAGTGAATAGTGGTAGTTAAATATTGCGCATGGTCTACTCCATGAGGTTACAACTGGTAGTTAAAGAGCACATTCTAAGGATTATTTCTGTGTTTGATGTATTAAAATATTCCTATCCAAACCCAAGTAACGAAGGTGGAGGCATTAATTTTCATTCAACCCTCATACAGACAATGCCAGTGAAGAAATGGAGATGAGCACCAGCCCCATAAGTCAGACACGACTAGACTTAATGTTTTAAGTCTTTATCATATTGTTTCCAAATGGTGAAATGTATTAATCCTCCTTCTATTTACCAAATTACAAAAGGGATGGACATCAGTCTCCATATTATAATTGTAGAACTAATTCCCTCTGTCTAAAGAACTCTCGTAGGGAACCAAACCTACCCTATATATATATATATATTCCAAAAAACCAAAGCGTATGCCCATGAAATCTTCCAGGAATGCAGTGGATATGAAAATACACGGAAGCTCAAGCCCTGAAATGGTCGTTTTGGGTTGTTGTAGGTCTTTCGGGTTGTATGGCCATGTTCCAGAAGCATTATCTCCTGACGTTTCACCTGCATCTATGGCAGACATCCTCAGAGATTGTGAGGTCCTGCCATAGATGCAGGTGAAACTTCAGGAGAGAATGCTTCTAGAACAAGGCCATACAGCCCAAAAGACCTACAACAACCTTCGACAATACAATGGTTGTTTAGTTTCAATCCACTGCTTCATAAGAAACCTATTTGCTGCAGTTTCATTTCTTAAGGGACGAGCAGGCAGTGTTTAGTCTTAATGATGCCGCTGCATTTTTGATTGCATTGTTTCCTTGTTAGATGCTGATTAACCCCTGGTCAAACTGCCTTGATTGCAGCAATGGAAAAGTGTGGTATTGGAATATGACCATAGTATCTGTCGTTTCATGTATCCATGTCCAATAAAGTGTCCCTTCTAAATATTATATAGATTATATAGATCGGGCCTGGGCAAATTTGGGCCCTCCAGGTGTTTTGGACTTCAACTTCCACAATTCCTAACAGCCTACCGGCTGTTAGGAATTGTGGAAGTTGAAGTCCAAAACACCTGGAGGGCCCAAATTTGCCCATTCCTGATATAGATCCTCCAGCATGTCTCTGTGGTCTTTGTGGGCCAGAGATCCTTCATTTCAATGAGGTTCCCTATTATCTGTGGCCGTGGTTCTCCACTTTCCTAATGCTGCATCCCCTTAATACAGTTCCTCATGTTGTGGTGACCCCCAACCATAAGATTATTTTTGTTACTACTTAATAACTGTAATTTTGCTACTGTTATGAATCATCATGTAAATATCTGACATGCAGGATGTATTTTCATTCACTGGACCAAATTTGGCACAAATACCCAAATTTGAATATTGGTGGGGTTGGGGTGGGGGATTGATTTTGTCATTTGGGAGTTGTAGTTGCTGTGATTTATAGTTAACCTACAATCAAAGAGTATTCTGAACACCAATGATGGAATTGAACCAAACTTGGAACAGAAAACTCCCATGACCAATGGAAAATGCTAGAAGGGTTTGGTGGGCATTAACCTTGAGTTTGAGAGTTGTAGTTCACCTACATCTGGAGAGCACTGTGGACTCAAACAATGATGGACCTGGACCAAACTTGGCATCAGGCCAAGAGTCCCCGTTGGGGAGATGGTGGCGAGGTATAAATAAAGATGATGATGATGTGACAAATGCAAGATACTCCACTTTGGCAGGAAAAACGAAATGCAAAGATACCGAATGGGGGACAATGCCTGGCTCGAGAGCAGTACGTGTGGAAAAGATCTTGGAGTCCTCGTGGACAACAAGTTAAACATGAGCCAACAATGTGATGTGGCGGCAAAAAAAGCCAATGGGATTTTGGCCTGCATCAATAGGAGCATAGTGTCTAGATCTAGGGAAGTCATGCTACCCCTCTATTCCGCTTTGGTTAGACCACACCTGGAATATTGTGTCCAATTCTGGGCGCCACAATTCAAGAGAGATATTGACAAGCTGGAATGTGTCCAGAGGAGGGCGACTAAAATGATCAAGGGTCTGGAGAATAAGCCCTATGAGGAGCGGCTTAAGGAGCTGGGCATGTTTAGCCTGAAGAAGAGAAGGCTGAGAGGAGATATGATAGCCATGTATAAATATGTGAGAGGAAGCCACAGGGAGGAGGGAGCAAGCTTGTTTTCTGCTTCCCTGGAGACTAGGACGCGAACAATGGCTTCAAACTACAAGAAAGGAGATTCCATCTGAAAATGAGGAAGAACTTCCTGACTGTGAGAGCTGAGCAGTGGAACTCTCTGCCCCGGAGTGTGGTGGAGGCTCCTTCTTTGGAAGCTTTTAAACAGAGGCTGGATGGCCATCTGTCAGGGGTGATTTGAATGCAATATTCCTGCTTCTTGGCAGAAGGGGTTGGACTGGATGGCCCATGAGGTCTCTTCCAACTCTTTGATTCTATGATTCTGTGATTATGATGATGATGATGATTATTACTTTACTAGTGCAGGTGTGCTTTTGGGAGACAACAGTCAAAATTAATATTCCCTTCCTCTCTATACATCACTTTCCAACTATCTAAAACACCCTGAAGCCATCCTGGGCAGGATCACAGAGGCATCTGGCAATTAGGGGTGTACGAGATTCCAGAGGTTGATTCGTAATTTGAACTATGAATTTTGACTGTTTTTATTTTATTTTAATCTGCTCAAAAACACTAGGATTTTATTCATTTATAACTTTTTTTGGATGGGATAGGCTGCACCCTTGAAATCCTCAAACAACCTCTTCACCCCCGAGTGCGTCCAAATACAGCTTGATTGGCAGGTTTGTCTTACCTGAGTGCTTCCATTATGTGATGCCAACAGTCGCTATGCCCACCGTACCTGAGCTGCAAGTTTCTTTATGAACCTGTGGCACACACAGATCAGAACCAAGCAAAGTGGAAGTGTTTGTGCTCTTCCAGCATTTGCTGCCTGAGGCAATTGCCCTTCTATGTCTAAAAGTCAGTCGCCTCACTTCCAAGCAAACGCCTTCATCTCCGTCATACAACAAGAAGGACAAAAACTCACACACACACCAAAGGGCAACATCAGTTCATTTTGGTTTTCTTTTTTTCTCGAATTATTCTCATTTTCTTTTCCTTTTTTTGTAAAAAAAAAGAAGGCCCAATAAAACAAAACACATAAAAATAAAAACAAACCAAAAAAGAAACCCGAAAGGAAAATAAAACGTACCATTTAATTTACTTCCCCTTTCTGAGCGTCGACACCAATAATTAATTAATAATTAAAACCTCCGGAAGGAAGAAAGGAGGAGGAGGAAAGGGGAAAACGAACCAAAACGGGGAGGAAAAAAAGCCCAAACCCTGCTTTGAACATCATCTCATTTGGAAAAGAAGTCCGTAGAGGGGGGAAAAAGAGGCCTGGAGCGGAGTCCGTCCTCCTTTGTGGTCGCAGAGAGTGTACAAACGTGCTCATGGTCCGTGGGTGAAGGGAAACGAAATACAGACCCCCAACCAAGTCCAGCATTAACCCCTCTGCCTTCCCCTTCCCCACATTTCTTTTCTTCGGGCTATCTGTCTCTTTCAGTGCTTGGGGAGGGAGGCATCCCTTTCCGTCTGAGTCCAGCTCACTTATTGAAATCTGGTCCCAAAAGCTTGTTGGGCGGAATGCCACTGGAAGTTCGGAAGTCTTGAGGTCTCAGATATGTCAGATGGACTCTTCGTTTGGCAAAAAAAGGGGTGAAGAAGGGATGGGGGCGATAAAACAGGATGCGCTCTGTCCATATTTGATCCGTCTGGGTGGTGGGTTGGGGGTCAAGTGTGGCAGTGCGGACGGTGGCCGTGCTTCGTGGCTGCAGAGTGGACGCGGGAAGGAGGGCAGTCTATGGCACGGTCTTGCAGAGCGCGGGAAGAGCCAGGCGGAAGGGCAAGCCGGACCCCGAGGGCCACGGGTTGCGTGCCCCTCAACCTGGTGGGGTGGGTTGGCCAGCACCCCTCACTGAATCCGGAAACCTGGGAGAACCAAAAGAGAAGAGAATTGTGAGTGCCACTTGGATGGTCTTGCTTCTAGCAGGCTGGCATCCTGTGCATGACTTACGTTGGCATGAAGCTTCATTGGCTCCTAGCTCAGCCAAGGATATTACAAATAACAGAAGTTTTAACATTTTCAAGAAGCCAGTGAAGATTCCAAACTTTGCACAATATACTCTTTGCATTTTAGTTGTCCCACTGAAAGTATCACTGTTTTGTAGAGTTGGGATTTTATTATATACAGGCAGTCTCCAAGTTACAAACAAGATGGGTTCTTTGTTTGTTTGTTTGTTTGTTTGTAAGCTGAAACAGGTACATTTTAAGTGTAATTCTAGCCATATCTGTGTGTGATAGATATGGGGAGGCTTTGGCTAGCATGGAGAAGGATTAACCCCCTATTGTGTTTGTTTTGCTGTCTGTTCCCCTATATATATATGTATATGTGTGTATATATATAGAGAGAGAGAGGGGGGTGCTTTGGACACCATGGAGAGATATAGAGAGAGGGGAGGGGGCAGCCTTTGGATAGCATAGATATTGTATGTACATATAATATTGATCAGGAGCCCCCGGTGGCGCAGGGGGGATAAAGCACTGAACTGCTGAGCTTGTTGATCGAAAGGTCGCAGGTTCGATTCCGGGGAGCGGAGTGAGCTTCCACTGTCAGCCCTAGCTTCTGCCAACCTAGCAGTTCGAAAACATGCAAATGTGAGTAGATCAATAGGTACTGCTCCAGCGGGAAGGTAACGGCGCTCCATGCAGTCATGCCGGCCACATGACCTTGGAGGTGTCTACGGACAACGCTGGCTCTTCGGCTTAGAAATGGAGATGAGCACCACACCCCAGAGACAGACATGACTGGACTTAATGTCAGGGGACTACCTTTACCTTTAATAATATTGATCATAATGTTACAATACAATATAATAATAATACAATATAATAATTATATAACAATTATATATTTATATTGCATGTAATATTACTAATAATATTGCAGTATAGCGGTACAATGCAATATAGTAATATAGAATACCAATATTGTGCTATGCTAATAATATAATATATTGTATGTACATAGAATTTGTAAGCCACTTTGAGTCTCCTTAGGTGAGAAGGGCAGGATATAAATGTCGTAAATAAATAAATAAATAAATAAATAAATAGAGAGATGGCACATACACATGGGGATATATATATATATATATATATATATATATATATATATATCCCAGACACTATATATGTGTATGTACAGTATCTATATCTATAGCTATATCTCCATTCTCTCTCTCTCTCTCTCTCTATATATATATATATATATATATATCTCCATACACATCCATGCTATCCAAAGCCTGGCCCCCCTCTATACATACACACACACACATATATATACATATACATACAGGGGAACAGACAGCAAAACAAAACCACAGGGGAGTTAACCCTTCTCCATGCTATCCAAAGCCTGACTTTCTCTCTAGATAGATAGATAGATAGATAGATAGATAGATAGATAGATAGATAGATACTGTACATACACACACATATATAGTGTTTGGGATAGTGCCACCTTTGCTTTCTGATGGTTTAATGCACACAAACTTGGTCTCATGCTCAAACATATTAAAATACTATAAAATTACCTTCTGCCTATGCGTATAACGTATTTATATGAAACATAAATTATTTTTTATGTTTACTCTCAGGTCTCATCTCCAAAATTATGCATTATGCAAAAATACCAAAATTAAAAGCAAACAAACAAATCCCAAACACTTCTAGCCCCAAGCACTTTGGATAAAGGATGTTCGACCTGTACTTTAAAAAAAAAAAAAAAGAACTTGTAAGTTTCCTTGAATCCCTGTTTTGGAGGATCGCTGGGATGTAAAATAACAACCACCACAACAGTCACAAACACTAGCGCAATCATTCAGGTGCATCACAAGTCATCAACAGTATTTTGGCTTGTGTATGTACCGAACTGTAATGCTATTCTACTTTGCATCTAAGGGCGCTTCCACACAGCCATATAACCCAGAATATCAAGGCAGAAAATGCCACAATAACTGCTTTGAACTGGGTTATCTGAGTCCACATCGCCATATATTCCAGTTCAAAGCAGATAATGTAGGATTTTATTCAGGTGTGTGGAAGGGGTCTAACTAGGTTGGCCGTCTTCATCGTACACAGGTCATTCCGAATTCAAAATGTCAACTAGAGTACAATGTGCCATCGAATCTAATGCGCACCTCAGTTTTCAAAACCTTGAAACCCCAAAAAATATTTACTATATTAGTAAAGGTAAAGTCGTGTCCAACTCTGGGACTCTGGTGCTCATTTCCATTTCTAAGCTGAAGAGCTGCCATTGTCCATAGACACCTCCAAGGTCATGTGGCCAGCATGACTGCATGGAGCACTGTTACCTTCCTGCCAGAGTGGTATCTATTGATCTAATTGCATTTGCATGTTTTCGAACTGCTAGGTTGGCAGAAGCTGGGGATAACAGCCAGAGCTCACCCCACTCCCTGCATTCAAACCTGCAACCTTTCGGTAAACAAGCCAGCAGCTCAGTGGTTCAACCCACTGCGCCACCGGGGGCTCCTGTTTACCATCTTACATGAATCAGGTGGGCATCCTAATTTAGGGAAGGCAATTTAGTCCAAAAAGGTGAGCATTAGAATCAAGTAAATATGGTATATTGGGAAAATGATTAAAGGGAAGTATAAAGAGCTAACGGCCTGGAGGAAGCTGCCACCATCTGGAGAACTCATCAGAGATGCCTATGGATGAACCCCCAATACTCACTTCCCCTCCGGTGCCAGCAGTGAGCTTTACATGTAGTGCCATTGCCCCTCCATGCCCATTGCCATTCCCATTGGTCCTGGAAAGAGAAGGGGAAAGAAAGGTAAATGCCTTCCTGCATAAAGGAACCTTCCCCAGCTCAAGCTATCAGTTGTCCATGGGCGTTCCTCTTCTCCCTCCCATGCACCCCTATTCACCTCTCAAAGGTTTCCACTCACCTGGAGGACGGATCGCCATGTGCTGCTGCCCATCCATGACATAGCCCCCCATTGGTTGCCCATCAGGGCTGTACGGTGCACCCTGACCTGTCCAGAAAGGAGGAAGACCATGTTAGGAAGAACTCTTTCCCTATTTTCAGTCTCTTTGCAGGTTATAACACAGTGTTTTCCAACCTGAGGGTCAGGATCCCTGGGGCGGTGGTGAGGGAGTCTCAGAGGGGTCGCAAAAGACCATCCAAAAACACGCTATTTTCCGTTGGTCATGGGGGTTCTGTGTGGGAAGTTTGGCCCAATTCTGTTATTGGTGAGGTTCAGGATGCTCTTTAATTGTAGGTGAACTATAAATCCCAGCAATGACAACTCCCAAATGTCAAGGTCTATTTCCCCCAAACACCACCACTGATCACATTTGGGCATATTGAGTATTCATTTGGTCCAGATCCATCATTGTTTGAGTCCACAGTGCTCTCTGGGTGTAGATAAACTACAACTCCAAAACTCAAGATCAATGCCCAACAAACCCTTCCAGCATTTTCTGTTGGTCATGGTTCTGATTGCCAAGTCTGGTTCAATTCCATTGTTGGTGGTGTTCAGAATGCTCTTTGGTTGTAGGTTAAATATAAATCTCAGCAACTACAACTCTCAAATGTCAATGTCTATTTTCCCCAAACTCTACCAGTGTTCACATTTGGGCATATTGAGTATTTGTGTCAAGTTTGGTCCAGTTCCATCACTATTTGGTCCAGATCCATCACAAGGGGGTCTCAGAGGGGTCCCAAAGACCATCAAAAACACAGTATTTTCTGTTGGTCGTGGGGGTTCTGTGTGGGAAGATGGGTCCAATTCTGTTATTGGTAAGGTTCTGAATGCTCTTCAATTGTAGGTGAACTATACATCCCAGCAATTGCAACTCCCAAATGTCAAGATCTATTTTCCCCAAACTTCAGCAGTGTTCACATTTAGTCATATTGAGTATTTGTGCCAAGTTTGGTCCTAATCTATCATTGTTTGAGTCCACAGCACTCTCTGGATGTAGGTGAACTATCACTCTAAAACTCAAGGTCAATGCCCACCAAACCCTTCCAGTATTTTCTGGTTGTCATGGGGATTCTGTGTGGGAAGTTTGGCCCAATTCTATCGTTGGTGGGGTTTAGAATGCTCCTTGATCGTAGGTAAACTATAAATCCCAGCAATTACAACTCCAAAATGTCAAGCTCTATTTTCCTCAAATTTTAGCAGTGCTCACATTTAGGCATATTGAGTATCCATGCCAAATTTGGTCCAGATCCATCATTGTTTGAGTCCACAGTGCTCTCTGGATGTAGGTGAACTACAACTCCAAAGCTAGAGGTCAATGCCCACCAAACCTTTCCAGTATTTTCTTCTGGTCATGGGAGTTCTGTGTGCCAAGTTTGGTTCAATTCCATCGTTGGTGGAGTTCAGAATGCGCTTTTATTGGAGGTGAACTATAAATCCCATTAACTACAACTACCAAATGATAAAATCAGTCCTCCCCCCCCCCCAACCCCAGCTGTATTCAAATTTGGGCGTATTGGGTATTTGTGCCAAATTTGGTCCAGCGAATGAAAATACATCGTGTGTATCAGATATTTACATGACGATTCATAACAGTTGCTAAATTACAGTTATGAAGTAGCAACGAAAATAATGTTATGGTTGGGGGTCACCACAACAAAAGGAACTGTATTAAGGGGTCGCGGCATTAGGAAGTTCTAACAAGTCCCCTTTTTTAAAAACCCGGAAAACAAACTCCTTTGTTATGGTGAGATGCCCAAATCCCATCACGACAGTCTCTCCCCTCTCCCTCCTTTGTTCTTGCTTCAATTGTCCAAAGTGTCAAGAAGTAGTTCACACTCTGCCAGATCAGCAGGACGAAAGAAGAAAAAGAAATGGAATTTCACCCATTTGAAGACAGAATATCCTACCTGTACGATTTGATTGGTCGATCATAGGCTGAACTATGCGCCGTCGGGCATTAATAAACCTACAGGAAACAGAAGAGACCATGAGTCTCAGGACTCTTGAAAAACTAGCCTACCCCTGTTCAACTCTAGTTCCTAGAACCCACCCAACTAACGACAATGATAAGCTGACACGATATGAGGATTTAAAGATCAAACTGCAAAGACTCTGGCACAAGCCAGTCAAGGTGGTCCCAGTGGTGATCGGCACACTGGGTGCAGTGCCTCAAGACCTTGGCCTGCACTTAAATACAATTGGCGCTGACAAGATTACCATCTGTCATCTGCAAAAGGCCACCTTACTGGGATCTGCACACATTATTCGTCAATACATCACACAGTCCTAGACACTTGGGAAGTGTCTGACATGTGATCCAATGCAACAGAGTGACCTTGTTTGGACTATATGATTAATAGGTAGTTAGGTAGGGTCCTGCCTGCTTAAGCTCCTGGAGAAAAGGATCTTGTTGTGTTTTTAATCATAATCATAATCATAATCATAATCATAATGAATTTATTACCCGCCTCTCCCTGTGCCTCAATTTGTTAAACATAGTTATATATCTGTAACTCTAGGTCACAAACCCATATATGCAATACTAAATACTAGACTAYATTGTAAAGTCACAGTATGTCACTGGATTGCTGTGAGTTTTCCAGGCTATCTGGCCATGTTCTGGAAGCATTCTCTCCTGACATTTCACCCACATCTATGGCAGGCATCCTCAGAGGTTGTGAGGTCTGTTGGAAACTAGGAAACTTGGGTTTATATATCTGTGGAATAATGTCCAGGGTGGGAGAAAGAACTCTTGTCTGTTTGAGGCAAGTGTGAATGTTGCAATTGGCCAGCTTGATTAGYACTGAATCGCCTGGCAGGTCACTTACTGGGATCTGAACRCATTATTCGCCAATACATTGCACAATCCTAGACACTTAGGAAGTGTCCGACGTGTGATCCAATACAACAGCCAGCAGAGTGGTCTTGTTTGCTGTGGACTCATCTTGTTGTGTTAATAATAATAATAATAATAATAAWAAAWAATTTATTTGTATTCCACCCTATTTAGACATTATTTACATTATTTATTGTTACAAAATGATTTGAAAGTAAGCAACCTTGAGGTCTTTAGATTATTTTTGTGTGTGTGTCAGGAATGACTTGAGAAACTGCAAATTGCTTCTGGTGTGAGAGAATTGGCTGTCTGCAAGGATGTTGCCCAGGGGATTCACGGATGTTTTATCATCCTTGTGGGAGGCTTCTCTCACGTCCCCGCATGGGGAGCTGGAGCTGACAGAGGGAGCTCATCTGCACTCTCTCCGGATTCAAACCTCCAACAGGTCTTCAGTCCTTGTGCCAGCAGATCTTCAGTCCTGCCGGCACAAGGGTTTAACCCATTGCTTGAGTTATTTAGATATAAAGCAGACTAAAATATCTATCTATCTATCTATCTATCTATCTATCTATCTATCTATCTATCTATCTATCTATCTATCTATCTATCTCAGAATGGAAAGCAAGGGATGGTCACTGTCTGCATTGTCCCATTGTGCATTGTCACAATTCTCTAATACAGTTCTATATCGTGCTACTATTGCAAAACTTCACAATTGTAGAGAAGAGCAATCAAACATTCCTTGTCTTATGTGCTGTGATAAAAATGCCCAGAATGGACTCTTCAAACAACCAAGTGTAAGACTTGGGGGAAAAGATTAATCTGAAAGAATTCGAAGTCCATTCCGCTGAGACCCTTACCAGTTATTCACTTGCAAGATCGTCAGTCCCGTATCCTGAGCTAATTGTTTCTTTTGTTCTTCCGAGGGATAGGGATGCTGTGGGGAGAGAAAAGGGGAATAAAAATAAATAAAAAACAGTGTTTATTATTTCTAGAGTTTGAGGGTTTGTGGCTCAGCTATAAGAAAAAGACATTCAGTAATCAAACCTTGGTTATATATAGCCATTTGTGGGGTTGTTAAACCTCATCATCTCAAGGGTTAGTCCTCTATTATTTTTCTAGACTTAGCTTAACATTCCACTTTTCCTATAGTGAGCTCAAGATTAGCCTCCTACTTGATAGGGGGTTGGACTAGATGACCCCATGTGGTCTCTTCCAACTCTTATTATTCTATGTATTACCGTCAAAACAACAATCCTATGAGGTAGACCATCCAGAGAAGTAGAAAGAGAACTATTCCGAGGTCACATGGGAAGTTTCATGGCTTAGTAGGGTCTTGAATCTGGATCTACAAAGCTGCAGTTCTATATTGTTGCTACAAAACCACATCATCACCCTACAAGACTGAGAGACTGACGCCTACCTAACCACAATGACACTGGAATTCAAGTGGCGGATATAGGGGGTGCTTAGTGAAAACTACAAGAGCCACCCTCTTAGGCCCCTTCTACATTGCTATATTAAATCTAGACTATCTTTGAACTGGATTATGTGGCAGTGTAGACTCATATAACCCAGTTTAAAGCAGATAATGTGGATTATCTGCTTTGATAATCTGGATTGTATGGTACTGTAGATCCAGCTTGAGCTTGCCTTCTCTGACTTGTTTTATATTTCACAAAATACGTTGTAACAAAGGAAGGAAGGAAGGAAGGAAGGCCTTAGTTTTTGTTTTTTGTTTGTTTGTTTGTTTGCTCAAAACCAACATTTATTGAAATGCACAATCCAAGAACGCTTCACACTTCATTAGGTACACACACAAAGGGACTTCTCCCCATTTGCCAAAATTTTCCCAGACTTCACAACCTACAAGTTGGACTTTCTTCTTCTTCACCTTCTTGCAAAGTCCCCCCCCAAAATTCATCAAATGCGAAGGGAACCCGGATGATATTGTCTTTTCCTCTTGGGTTGGATTTATGTTCTCATATTGTGGAGTGACACTGACAGGCTTCAAATATAGATGGCGATGTGTATATCTGGGCTTTGGAAAGTGTCTCCCCCAAACCTCAAAAATCTCCAAAACTTAGGATTCAAACTTACTTGGCAGTTGTGTATCTGGGCTTTGGAAGATGTCAGTCCAAAACCTCGTTAAGTCTCCAAAACTTACTCAAACTTAGATGGTGGTTGTGTATCTCTACAAACTTAGATGGTGGCATCTGGCTTTGGAACGTGTCACTCCAAAACCTCAAAAGTCTCCAAAACTCAAACTTAGATGGTGGTTGTGTATGTGGCTTTGGAAGGTGTCAGTCCAAAACCTCATGAAGTCTCCAAAACTTGGTACATAAACTTAGATGGGGGTTGTGTATCTCTACAAACTTAGATGGTGGCATCTGGTTTTGGAAGGTGCCACTCCAGAACCTCAAAAGTCTCCAAAACTGGGGGTTGTGCATGTGGCTTTGAAAGGTGTCGGTCTAAATCTTCGTGAAGTCTCCAAAACTTAGTACTCAAACTTAGATGGGGGTGGTGTATCTCTACAAACTTAGATGGTGGCATTTGGCTTTGGAAGGTGTCACTCCAAAACCTCAAAAGTCTCCAAAACTCAAACTTAGATGGCGGTTCTGTATGTGATTTTGGAAGGTGTCAGTCCAAAATTTTGTTAAGTGTCCAAAACTTAGTACTCAAACTTAGATGGGGGTTGTGTATCTCTACAAACTTAGATAATGGCATCTGGCTTTGGAAGGTGTAAGTCCAAAACCTCAAAAGTCTCCCAAGCTTAGGATTCAAACTTAGATGACAATTGTGTATCTGGGCAAACTTAGATGGTGGTTGTGTATCTGGCTTTGGAAGGTGTCAGTCCAAAACCTCAAAAGTCTCTAAAACTCAAACTTAGATGGCGGTTGTGTATCTGGGCAAACTTAGATGGTGGCACATAATTTTAATGAAATCCTGCACCTGCTTTCCATGTCTTACATACAATAACCTAATGTGTATTATTCCGACAAGACTTTTTGCCAAGCCCTGCCTCTAAAATATTCACTGGTGGCCTCCCATCCAAGTACTAACCAGGGCTGAGCTTGCTTAGCTTCTGGGAAAACAAGAGGCTAAAGTGGCCTCATGAAAAAGGAACCTGAAAAATAATTATTAGTGAATCATCAGTTCAGGTCACTTAGAATCATAGAATCCTAGAGCTAGAAGGGACCCCAAAGGCCATCCAAACTATCCAACCCAATTGTGTCATGCAGGAAGACACAATCAAAGAACCCCTGAAAGACAGCCATCCAGCCTCTGCTTAGAAGCCTCCAGAGAAGGAGACTTCACCATTCCCTGAAGCAGCATATTCCACATCTTGCCCTTTTGGTGAAAATCATATATGTTGTGCATATTCTGTTTATTATTCATTCCACTCCATCTCCAAGCTCTCAAGCAGATATTCAATTTAGAAAGCTCTCCTTTTCCTTCTCCCATTGTCTTCTTCATTGGGTGGGAACCTCTTGCTCCCAGGTCCCACCCATTCCAGTCCTCTGGCCTCTTCCCTGCCACTTCAGATGATGGATGGGAAGCCCTTTGCCCAGCAGGTCAAGCAGCTGGACCTCTGTGCAAGGCCTCCTCCTGACATCCCAATGATGGATGAGCCAAGGTCTCGCCCAGCCTCCCAGGTCACAAGGCGCAGGGCAAGGGCCCCGGATTCAAAAGCACCTAGGAGGCCATGGAAACAAACGTCCCCACCTGCCCTGAGCCCCTGACCCAGCTGGGACCCCTCCCATGAGACCAAAGCTTCCACTGATGATCCCATTACCCTGCAACGAGGGATGAACCAATTTCCCAAGAAAGCCCTGTGCCCTTCCTGCATTTTTGTTAATACCCTGGCACACAAAAGTATCCATCTTGAAGAAGTCTATACTCCTGAACATACAGTCCTCCCTCCACAGTTTTGACTTTTGCGGATTTGATTACAGATTTGGTTAATAATATTCTCTAGATCCTGCAATGTGATCCTATGGTCAATTTTTGCCTGAGGTTACTGGAAAGAGCAAGGCTCAATATTTCTTCTTCTCCACTTGTCCCTTAACACGTTAATTAAGTGCTAATTACTTTTTGTACTTTGTTTGCAGTGACTGAGGTCAGCTGAGGACAAAGGGAGTAAAAGGGAAGAGGAGTGAGAAACTGGGACATTCTAAAAGCAGCCAGGAAAGTGGGATGACAAAGGAGTAATCAAATGTCCCAGCCAATGATAGATAGATAGATAGATAGATAGATAGATAGATAGATAGATAGATAGATAGATAGATAGATAGATAGATAGACAGATAGACAGTTCCAAGCTATCCCATGACTGGACAATGTGATATAGGACACTTTCCCCTTTTATTCCTTTCACCGTCGATGCTCAGCCTCCGAAAGCCACCATGCCCCCCTCCATACCCTTCCTCCCTCCCTGCCAATACGTTCAGGGTAATTGGCTAGAATTGATTACCCTTCACCAGCCTCTAATAGCTTTATAGCTCCTTCAATTAGCCACTAATTGGCCAGCGCTCATTAACTCGCCTTTGTTTAACTAACCAGGGAGAGGCCCTGCCTAATTGCCTGGCAGCGCTGCGAGCGGGCGGCACGGAAAGCCAAGGCCGGGGAAGGGAGAATGCCTGGGTGGCGGGCATGGAAAAATGCCCACCGAGAGAGCAAGCGGCCTGCCCGCTGCTCGGAAAACAGCTGCCGGTGGGCAGAGACGAGGAGCAATGAGTGGTAAACTAGCAGCAATTACTGCACCCTGAAATACTTCATAGACTGAAACAGAGACATTTGTGGCCAAACACGATACATAAGTGAGGAGAGGATGCAGCAGTTTGCTTTTGCCTGAGACTACAGGAGAGGAATATGAGTATCTAGAGAGGAATATCACTCCACAACACAAATTTCCCTGCCTCTCTCATTTGGGATATTCCAAAGAAGGGATAGAGCATGGAAAGTTATATTTTGGTCTTGATTCCCATAATCCCCATTATGTCCATCACCTTTTGTGCCCACCTCTAACCCTTTTCTGTCTTTTTCTCACCATTTCCTAAGGTGGAAACTTTAGTTGCTGCAAACATTTCCACTTCTTACCGACAGGTGTTGAAATAGCCAGGCGCGCATAATATTTGTGGCCACTTTGGGGAAGATCCCTCGCTTCTTGTTCCTTTTTTTGTCTCGGTCCAAGTCGTCGTCATCTCCTGTGCTGGGAGAAGCCACGCTGTTGTCTAGACAGTCCCCTGGGGAAGAAAGGGAAGGAAAAGGGAAATGTGAGCCAACAGTGTGACGCTGCAGCAAACAAGGCAAATAAGATTGCACTAATACAGTGTTTCTCAACCTGGGGGTCGGGACTCCTGTGCGGGTTTCAGAACAGTCTCCAAAGACCATCAGAAAATATATATTTATGATTATCTTAGAAAACCCTTTGGCAGAAAAGGCTGAAGATCATTCTGCCTGTCCTTCTCTTCATTTTTGTAAACAGACGGCGAATCCTTCCATCAAAAGCCCTCCTCCACTCTGATTGGCCGGCTGTTCTTGAGACTCCAAGCGGGATGGGGAGAGCAGGCATGCTCTGCGCATGTATGGGCAAGGGAGAGCATGCGAGGCAGGAGGGAGGCTGCCAGCGAGTCCCTTCAAGGCATAGGGGTCCTGTGTGGGAAGTTTGGCCCAATTCTATTGTTGGTGGGGCACTCCAGGGCTCAAAACCAACCTTAAAAACTCTGGCATAGACACCGAGAACTGGGAAGCCTTGGTCCTTGAGCACTCCAGCTGGAGGTCAGCTGTGACCAGCAGTGCTGCAGAATTTGAAGAGGCACAAATGGAGGGCAAAAGTGAGAAACGTGCCAAGAGGAAGGCATGTCAAGCCAACCTCGGCCGAGACCGCCTTCCACCTGGAAACTAATGCCCACACTGTGGGAGAAGATGTAGATCAAGAATAGGGCTCCACAATCACCTACGGACCAACCAGAATACTGATCCTGGAAGATCAAGATCACATTGATAACAGTAGCAAAATTATAGTTGTGAAGTAGCAATGAGGGATCGCCTAAGTAAGTAAGTAAGTAAGTAAGTAAGTAAGTAAAGGGAACTCCAGAGGTACTCCCAAGTGGCCAGCTATTGGTCAAATGACATTTAATAGAATGCCAAGTTTGCAAACTTCGTGTGTGTGTGGTTTTTTAAAAAATACAATACAATTGTTTGGTTCACTCCTAACACGATAAATAAATAAATAAATTATTGTTGGTGGGGCTCAGAATTTTCTTTGATTGTAGGTGAACTACAACTTCAAAACTCAAGGTTATGGGGGTTCTGTGTGCCAAGTTTGGCTCAATTCTATCGTTGGTGGAGTTCAGAATGCTCTTTGATGGTAGGTCAATTATAAATCCCAGCAACTACAACTCTCAAATGTCAAAGTCTATTTTCCCCAAACTCCACCAGTGTTCACATTTGGGCATATTGAGAATCCATGCCAGATCCATCATTGTTTGGTCCAGATCCATCATTGTTTGAGTCCACAGTGCTCTCTGGATGTAGGTGAACTACAACTCCCAAACTCAAGATCAATGGCCACCAAACCCTTCCAGTATTTTCAGTCGGTCATGGGAGTTCTGTATGCCAAGTTTGGATCAATTTGGACATATCAGGTATTCGTGCCAAATTTGGACCATATCCATAGTTGTTTGGGTTCACAGTGCTCCCCGGAAATAGGTGAACTACATCTCCCTTGAGTCTATTTTCCCCAAACTGCACCAGTGTTCACATTTGGGCATATTGAGTATCAATGCCAGGTTTGGTCCAGATCTATCATTGTTTGAGTTCAGTGCTCTCTGAATGTAGGTGAACTACAACTCCAAAACTCAAGGTCAATGGCCACCAAACCCTTCCAGTATTTTCTGTTGGTCATGGGAAATCTGTGTGCTAAGATTGGTTCAATTCCATCATTGGTGGAGTTCAGAATGCTCTTTGTTTTTGGGTGAACTATAAATCCCAGAAACTACAACTCCCAAATGTCAAGTCTACTTTCCCCAAACTCCACCAGTGTTGACATTTGGGCATATTGAGTATCCATGCCAAGTTTGGTCCAGACCCATCATTGTTTGAGTCCACAGTGCTCTCTGGATGTAGGTGTACTACAACTCCAAAACTCAAGGTCAATGGCCACCAAACCCTTCCAGGATTTTCTGTTGGTCATGGGAGATCTGTGTGCTAAGATTGGTTCAATTCCATCATTGGTGGAATTCAGA